ATAATCTGTTATTTCCCACTCTTGACACTGATGGTTCCAGTACTTGCCCGGGTCTCGTTGTTCAACATTTCCTTTGATTTTGTAAATTGCCTACACTCTACCCAACCTTCTCTTCCCCTCTGCAGTTTGGAATTCAATTAGCCAGAGTCAAGGAACCCTGACAGGCACAGCCTTTATCACACTGCCTGGCATACAGAATCTGGTCCTTGGATTGTCTTAAAGTCAGGGAGTGCAGAGCATACATCCCTGTGCCCATAGTACCCTGGTGTTCAGTAGGCTGAAGAGTTGAAAGCAATAAATGGTGGCCTAATAACACAAACCCAAAGCCCCACAGTTTGACTAAGATGGATTGGAAACCCATACCTTAAGAGACCATATAGGCTGAAGACAAAAATCAGATCAAGAAATGTTTAACACATTTCTTGGATATAGGTTCATAAGGTATGGATATAGGTTCATAAGGGGTCTGACTCCCATGCTGAGCATCTGTGTAACTAGCTTATGCTTTTATTCAGGTCATCCATGCTGGGTACCACGCTCTTTATAAAGAAAAAGTGCAGGGGCCAGGCACAGTGGTTCACACCTATAATTTCTGCACTTTGGGAGGCTGAGGCGAGAGGATACTTAGCCCAGGAGTTTGAGGCTGCAGTGAGCTATGAGTCATGCCACTGCACTCCAGTCTGGGTGACAGTACAAGACCCTGTCTCAAAAAGAAAGGAAGGAAGGAAGGAAGGAAGTGAGGGAGGGAGGGAGAGAGGGAGGGAGAAAATAAAAATGCAGGCGTAAAACAACCATGAGTTTAACCCCACATGGCGTTTCTGACACTGGTAGACGTGTTGCGGTATCTAGCCTCGAAAGATGGCCACCCCTAATCAACCATGCTGCTTAGTGCTCATGCCCGTGTCATCCACTCCCACACTGAGCCTGGCGTGGCCCTGGGTGACCAGTACAACGTGACTGAAGTGACTCTGTGACTTCCAAAGCCAAATCACAGGAAGCCCTGCAGCCTCTACTTTGTTCCCTGGGAACACTTGCTCTTGAGACATTTCCTCTTTGACTCTTGCTGTCATGCTGTGAGATACACAAGCCACACGCAGAGGCCATGTGTAGGACTCCAGAAAATAGCCCACATCAACTGACAGCCATCTTCCAGGTTCCCAGGGCCACCCAGACCTCCTGAATCTAAACCTATGCTTTCAAAAGCCTTCCAGGTGAATCTAATGCACATTAAAGTTTGAGAAGCTTTTCTTTTTCTTTTTCTTTCTGACAGTCTCGCTCTGTTGCCCAGGCTGGAGCGCAGTGGCGCGATCTTGGCTCACTGCAACCTCTGCCTCCCAGGTTCAAGTGATTCTCCTGCCTCAGCCTCCCGAGCAGCTGGGACAATAGGCCTGTGCCACCATGCCCGGCTAATTTTTATATTTTTAGTAGAGACGATAGTTCACTGTGTTGGCCAGACTGGTCTCGAACTCCTGACCTCAGGTAATCTGCCCGCCTTGACCTCCCAAGGTGCTGCGATTACAGGTGTGAGCCACTGCGCCTGGCCTGAGAAGCGTTTCTATTATCAATGGTGTTCCGATTTTTTTTTCCACTATAGCCCATCTCAGTAGAACAGAAGATTCTTTGGCTCATATGGGCCTCACTTGGTCTGACCTCACTTTCCAGGGAGATGGACTTTGCTAATAAGAAAGTTCTTGGTGACTGGTGGGCACCTGCTACTTTTGCCTGTACCATGTTGCTTCCTTATTCCTCTTTCACAGTGCCCTGCTTTTTTGCTTTCTTTTTACTTTTTCTTTTCTTTTCTTTTTTTTTTTTTAAGCGGAAGTCTTGCTATATTGCCTAGGCTAGGTGCAGTGCCATTCACAGGTGCAGTTGCAGTCATGTACACTATAGCCTCCAACTCCTGGGTTCAAGTGATCTTCTTTTTTTTTTTTTTTCTGAGACGGAGTCTTGCTCTGTGGCCCAGGCTGGAGTGCAGTGGTGCAATCTTGGCTCACTGCAACCTCCGCCTCCCGGGTTCAAGTGATTCTCCTGCCTCAGCCTCCTGAGCAGCTGGGATTACAGGTGCGTGCCACCACACCTGGCTAATTTCATATTTTTGGTAGAGATGGGGTTTCACCATGTTGGTCAGGCTGGTCTTCAACTTCTGACCTCGTGATCCACTCACCTCAGCCTCCCAAAGTGTTGGGATTACAGGCGTGAGCCACCACACCCGACTTCAAGTGATCTTCTTGCCCCAGCCTTCAGAGTAGCTGGGGCTTCAAGTAGGTGCTACTGCGTCCAGCTAATGTACCCTGCTTTTTGCTGGGGGGCTTTTCCTCTCCCTTTCCTTCTGGTCATGGTGGGACTGTAGGCACGTGCCCCGCCTCCAGCCCTGGTAAGGGCACAGGTCAGGCTGGAACATGACAGTATCACTTCCACTGGAACATATACAATGGGGGACACTGACCCAAGAGAGCCAATCAGAATTCTTTCTGGAGCAGCCAGACCAAGTTGAGGAAAAGGATCCTCACCAGGTGGTATACCAGAGACTCTGTGAGCCCAGAGCTGATAACCAGCCATGCCTGACGCTGTCCATTGGTAGACTATCTGGTTGTGTGAGCCAGTCAATTCCTTTTAAATTTAAGCCATTTGAAATTTGGCTTCTGTCACTGGCAGCCGAAGAGTCCTAACTATGACAAGCAAATCTGAAAGGATGAGACATATGTCTAGTATAGCAATAGATGGTTGATGGATTCATAGTTGAGCTGAAATTCAACATGAGTTGTAGATTTGTTATAACAGGCCGAAAGCTCAGTCAGTGTGTGTGCTTCCTGGCACACTATAGTGTTCATGTACCACCTGACTAACTCTGGCCCAAAAGATGCAAACGAGAGTCTATTGGAGCAGGGTTCCGGGGAAGCTTTTGCTTTCCAGGTATAAAGGGTAAGACTTGGCTGCCACATGCCCTTTTTTCTTTTCTTTCCCCTCCTTCCTGCCTGAAATGCAGTCATGATGCCTCGGGTGGAGCAGGAATCTTGTGAGCATGAGGGGCAGGCTGCATGCCGAAAGGGTGGTGGAGCAGAAAGCAGGAGGCAGCCTGATGGTCCTGGGAGCTGTTGTCCCATCCAGGGTTGCCTCCCTCTTGGCTTCTTGATATATGAGGAAAAGAAAAATCTGATTTGGTTGAGCAACTATGGCTAGGTTTCTGTTACATGCAGCCAAATGCAACCCTAACATAGACAATGCCCTACACTCACTGCATCCCAAGAAAAGCCTGGAATTCTCAGATCAAGTTTTAGCCTATCAGTGTCCCACACTTAGAGACTTGCCCCCTTGGACCAACTTGTCATTTTTCAGGTGAGGGACCTGGATCCCTGTATTTGTTTCTTGTCACTACTGTAAGAAATGACCATACACTTAGTGGCTTAAAACAACAGATGTATTATCTTACAGTTCTGGAGGTAAGAAGTCCTAAACTTGAAGTACCAGCAGGACTGCATTCCTTCTGGAGACTCTAGGGGAGAATCCAATTCTTTGCCTTTTTTAGCTTCCAGAGGCCACCTGCATTTCTTGGCCCATGGCCCCTTTATATTCAAGGCCAGCAGTGTAGTATCTTCACATCTTTCTCCCTGACCTCTGCTTCTGCTGTCACACCTCCTTCTCCGACTCTGACTCTCTCCTGCTTCCCTCTTTCCCTTAGGAGGACTCATGTCCTTACACTGGGCCCACCTGGACCATCCAGGATAATCTCCCTACAGGAGCATAGGCTCTGCAAGATCTAAGTCCCTTCTGCCATGTCAGGTAATATATTTAGAGGTTGTGGGGATTGGGAGGTGGACATCTCAAGGGGGCACTATTCTGTCTACCGTAGTCCTAGAAATGAAAAGTGACTTGCTCAAGAGTACCCCACAGAGCTGGCTGAAAAGAAACAACTATAGGTAAGCTCGCACCACTGGCAGAAGCACCCCTTTTCCTCCTCCTTGGCATGAAACTAAAGCCCAGCCATTCTCCAAGGTCCATTTCAGGCTGCCCCTGCCCAGAAGCCACAGTTGCCCTCCTAGGCCTGCAGAGGTCATCCTCTTGACTGTGTCTGTGTCACTCATTGCCAGTTGGCACACATTTCATCAGCAACCATGAAGGTCTTCCATTGTTCTCTGCCCAGGCTTGATCCTGGAAGGCAAGGATCACACCTTAGAACTTTTTGGTACCCCTAGTGCCCACTGCACAGAGTAGGGTCTCAATACGTGTATGGTTCATGATGTTCCTAGCAGATTCTCCAAACTGACTCACTCAGCCCCTGGAAGACTAAAAACTGCATTTCCCAGACTCCCTTGCAGTGTGGACTAGGTTCCACCAAGCCAGACACAGTGGAAGTGAGTGGGTGGCCACAGGTGGAGAAAGAGAAACTTCGGAGGGCACAGTGGTGGGTATGTTTTGTTCTTTTGGGGGCAGCTGTGCTGGGGGCTGCGCTAAGTGATGGGGCAGTGGTCCCAGTGGAGTAGTAAAATTAAGTGTTTCTCATAGCTGCATGGCTCCTGGCTGTGTAGGACTTAGACCTGTCTCCCTAGGAAATCTGTAAGCTCCTTCACGTCCCATGTAAACAAAACCCCTCTAGCTGGAGTGGTTTCTATTGTCTGCGACTAAGAACCCTTTTATAAGGTATACTACTCCCCAACCCCATTAGTAGAAATCCCCAAAGGGTAGGAATTCTATTTTATTTCACTTGTAAACTGCTCACCTAGTAAGCGTATCAACAAAATATACACAATTCATTGAACTGGACTAAAGCTATAACATTTCAACGAATTCCTCATCCTTTCTGTGAATCAAGGGACTTGTTTTCTGCTTTTCCTGCTCTTTGTCCGCTGATCTCCTGGGAAGAAAACTTCCGAAAAGGAATACCGTTTCGGGGGCGAGCGACGCCAGGGTGCCCAGGCCGTGCCCCAGTTCCGGGTTTGCGCCCGGTCTTCCCGCCCTGCCCCGCCCGCGGGACTACAGTTCCCAGGCGCCCCTGCGCGGCGGTGCCGGCGCCAGTTGGGACGCGGAGCAGAGGAGCACGGCCGGGCGCCATGGCCCCGTGGGGCGAGCGGCTGGCTGGAGTGCGCGGGGTGCTGCTCGATATCTCGGGCGTGCTGTACGACAGCGGCGCGGGCGGCGGCACGGCCATCGCCGGCTCGGTGGAGGCGGTGGCCAGGTGAGTGGGCCGCGAGGCGCCGCTGGGGGCGCCGCTGCGGCCGCGGAGCTCTAAGTTCTGCCTGGTCCCCGGCTGCCGACAGGGGGCGGGGCCGCGGCTCAGGCCCCGCCTCGTTCCCCCCCTTCCCACCCCGGTGGGCTCACAGCGCTGACCCCGGACGACCCCACTGCTGCCCCGGGCGAGCACCAGGCCTCTGCTGGTTAGGGCTGTGCGATCAGACAGGGCGGCCTCCTGGTACGTGGGCTGCTGAGCGCTTGAGCTGAGGCCAGTCTGAGTTGAGATGTGCTGTAAGGGTAAAATGCATACCGATGAACAAGTCTTGGCCGGGCGCGGTGACTCGCATCTGTGATTCTAGCACTTGCAGAGGCAGAGGAGGGAGGATCACTTGAGGCCAGGGGGTTGGAGACCACCCTGGGCAACATAGGGAGACCCTGTCTCTGCCAAAAATTTAAAAATTAGCTGGGTGTGGCGGTGCACGCCTGTAGGCCCAGCCACATTGGAGGCTGAGGCAGGAGGATCGCTTGAGCCCAGGAGGTCAAGGCTGCAGTGAGCTGTGATCACGCCACTGTACTCTAGCCTGGACTGCAGAGCGAGACTGTCTCAAAAACAAAACCCCCCAAAACATCAGACTTCATGAGTAAAATGTAAAATAACACACGAAAATGGGTTTATGTTGTTTGCCTGTTGAAATAATATACTTTTTGTTTGTTTTGTTTTGTTTTTTTCAGACGGAGTGTCGCTCTGTCGCCCAGGCTGGAGTGCAGTGGCACGATCTCGGCTCACTGCAACCCCCGCCTCCCGAGTTCAAGCGATTCTCCCGCTTCGGTCTCCTAAGTAGCTGGGATTACAGGCACCCGCCATCATGCCCAGTTAATTTTTTTATTTGTTTTGTTTGAGAGGGAGTTTTGCTCTTGTCGCCCAGGCTGGAGAGCAGTGGTGCAATCTCTGCTCACTTGCAACCTCCTCCTCCCAGGTTCAAGCGATATCTCTCGCCTCAGCCTCCCGAATAGCTGGGGAGATTACAGGCATGTGCCACCACAGCCCAGGCTAATTTTTTGTATCGTTCAGTTAGAGATGGGGTTTCACCATGTTGGGCAGGCTGGTCTCTAACTCCTGACCTCAGGTGATCCCACCTGCCTCGGCATCCAAAGTGCCTGGGATTACAGGCGTGAGCCACCGCAACCGGCCAATTTGTTTGTATTTTTGTAAGGCAGGGTTCACCATGGTTGGCAGCGCTTGGTTCCTGGAACTTCGCTGACCTCAGGTAATCCACCTGCTTCACCGTCACAAAGTGTCGTAGGATTTACAGGTGTGAGCCACGTGTGCCCGTTGATAATATTTTTAATACACTGATTTTAGTTACAAAGGTATTTGAAATTAGCTTGGTTCTACCTTTTTACAAAAACTTTCTGTTAATGTCTTATTAGAAAACCGTTGCTAAATTCTCCTTTGTGGCTTCGTGCATTATAATTGCGTTGGACTGCATTGGTTTTAGGTGAGAGAGGAGGAAGACGAGCATCGTGCCTGGCCCAGACGTGGACCATGGAGAGCACTTTTTTCTTCTGAGGACGAAAGGTTTCGCTCTTGTCCTTCCAAGGCAGAGTGAGTGGTGCGCAGATCTCAGGCTCACGTGGAACCCTAGTCGTTCCAGGTTCAAGCGATTCTCCTGCCTCAGCCTCCCAAGTATCTGGGATTACAGGCACCTGCCACCACGCCCAGCTCATTTTTGTATTTTTAGTGGAGACCGGGTTTCACCATGTTGCCCAAGTTGGTCTGGAACGCCTGACCTCAAATGATCCACCAGCCTCAGCCTCCCAAAGTGCTGGGATTACAGGTGTGAGCCACTGTGCCTGGCCGACACTTTTCTTTTTATAATTTTTTTTTTTGAGATAAGGTTTCAGGATGTTGCCAGGGTGGTCTTGAACTCCTTGGCTCAGGCAGTCCTCCTGCCTCAGTCTCCCAAAGTGCTAGGATAACAGGCATGAGCCCACTGTGCCTGGGCCTAATTTTTTTTTCTTTTTCTTTTCTTTTTTTTTTTTTTTTTTAGCGACACGGGTCTTACTTTGGTCGCCCAGGGCTGGGCAGTCAGTGGATTCAATCTCAGCCTCCACTGCAACCTCCAACCTTTAAGGAGCTCAAGAGGGATCTCCCACTTCAGCCTCCCAAGTACTGGGACTATCAATGCGTGCCACCAGCCCATGTAATTTTTTTGTATTTTTTGGTTCAAGAGATGGGCCTTGCATGTTGCCCAGGTCGGTCTGAATCCTGGGCTGAAGTAACTTCTGGCCATCTCAGCTCCCAAGTGCTGGATTAGATTCGTGTGACGCCCGTGCCAGCCAGGAAAGGGACACTTTCAGTAAGGGCGTGGTTGGCACCACTGGACCTGGGCTCTGTAAGGCCTTCCTGTTGGGCATCCAGGTCAGGCACGTGCCATATGTTGATAGGGCAGTCTGGGAAGGTGGGTAATTGGCCAGGACTTGGCTCCAGATCACTAGGCTGGAGGCACTGGTAAGGCCTGATGTCACGGCCTCAATATTTCCTTTTTTTTTTTTTTTTTTTTTGTTTTTTTTTTTTTTTTTTTTTGAACGGGATCTGGCTCTGGTTCGCCGGGCTGGAGTGGGCAGTGGCGGACTCAGGCTCACTGGGCGGGCAAGCTCTGCCCCCGGGTTTACCGCCATTCTCCTGCCTCAGGGCCCTTCCCGAAGTAGCGGGGAACTACAGGCGCCCGCGCTCGCCCCGGCTTAGTTTTTTTGTATTTTTTGTAAGTAGGAGACGGGGGTTTCACCGTGTTCGGCCAGGATGGTCTCGATCTCGCTGACTCGTGATCCGGCCGTCGTCCGGCCTCCAAAGTGGCCTGGGTGATTACAGGCTTGGCCACCGTGCCGGGCAGGCTCACATCATTTCCTACTGTACGGTGGCACGTTAGTGATGGTCTTTCTTGGGGTCCTTCTTAGAGACCCCATCCTGCCAGTCTACACATGTCTGATGTCTGGGAGCTACTGAGATAATAGGGACCCAAATGGTCCTGCATAGTGAAGCCTGAGGTGCTTAGGAGGCTAAGAACTGGGAACAGGGAGACTTAGCTTCCAGGAGCAAGTGTGAAGGGCAGCCCAGACCTAGGACACTCAGCTGGGTCCTGGGTCTGCTCTCAGTGTTGGCTGAAGTTCAGAGTTAGTGATTCCTGACCTTAGTCTCCATTACTCCAAAGCTTTAGACGAGCTCAGTCACACATGAGAGCATTCTGTGGGTGGCACTGGTGGGAATCCAGCAGAGCACTCTGGGCAGTGTTTTGGGGTGAAGTGGGCCTCATTTGGGGAGCAGGAAGCCAGAGCTCAGTGCTGTGACTGGGGCAGGGAAGGCTTCATGGGAGACCTTGCCACTCATTGCTTGCGGAAGATGCATTTGACATCATCTACCAGTGGTTCAACTTCTGAGAATTTGTCCTAGCTCATGCGTGAGAAATGACACGAGTACAAGGTCATTCCTGGCAATGCCTTTTAAACAGCAAAAGACTGGAAGCAGCTCAGATGTCCATCAGTAGGGGAGTTTAAGGGTCTGTCTGTTTATACAGCAGAATAACATGCAGTATAAAAGGGAACGAGCACCGCTGTCTATAGACATATTACCAGTGGAGACAGCAAGCACACAGCAGGGTGCATGGTGCACTGTTTCTCGTATAGAAAAGGCAGAAATGCTTGAATGTATTTCTCTTGCTGTGTTTGCTTAAAGACACTGGAAGGCTGCTTCAGAGTCTGGGAAGAGCTGGAGGATAAGGAAAGTGGGGGCCACTGTGTGGTTGGAGACAGGGTAGGAGAAAGACTCTTCACTGTATAACTTTGTGTATCAACATTTTTGTTTTTGAGACAGAGTCTTGCTCTGTCACCCAGATTGGAGGACAGTGGTGTAATTTCGGCTTACTGCAGCCTCTGCTTCCTGGGTTCAAACAATTCTCCTGCCTCAGCCTCCCGAGTAGCTGGGATTACGGGCACCTGCCACCATGCCTGGCTAATTTTTGTATTTTTATTAGAGATGGGGTTTTGCCATGTTGACCAGGCTGGTTTTGAACTCCCGACCTCATGTGATCTGCCCACCTTGGGTTTCCAAAGTGCTGAGATTACAGGTGTGAGTCACCGCGCCTGGCCTGCATATCATTTTTAAGGTTTTTAAACTATGCGAATGTATTTTCTATTCAAAATATTACAATTCAAATATTAAATTGAATATTAAAATTCAGAATATTAATGTTTGGGCACAGTAGCTCACACCTATAATCCAAACACTTTGGGAGGCTGGAGGTAGGAGGATTGAGACCAACCTGGGCAACATAGCAAGACCCCATCTCTACAAAAAATACAAAAATTAGCTGGGCATGGTGGTGCACACCTGTAGTCCCAACTACTTGGGAGGCTGAGGCAGGAGAATTGCCTGAGCCCAGGAGTTTGAGACTATGAGTGTGCTACTATATTCCAGCCTGGGTGACAGAGTGAGACCCCAACTCTAAAAAAAAAAAATTGTTTTTTAATTAAAATATTTCAAAGAGATCTCTCTGGCTGCAGTGTAGAGAATAGGCTGGTAGAAGGGCAGGGGCCAGAGAGGACACAGAGTCACCAGTTAGATGGTTCTAGTGGTCCAGGGAGAGCTGGTGGGGCTTGGACTGGGTAGAGGGCAATGGAGATGGGGAGGAGGGCATGAATTAAAGAGGTGTGTTGGAAGCAGGACCTATGGGACCTGCTGACATGTGGGGTATTGTCGGGGTCAGGGAGAACTTGAAATAAAGGGTGGTTTCCAGTGTCTGACCGGAACAACTGGCAGGGTGGAGAGGGGGCAGGGCAGGGGTCACGGGGTGGGTATCATGATGGCTTATGATGTATGTCAAGTTCCTGGCCTGGTGTTTGGCACACAGTAGACGCACAACAGTGTAACATTGAAGACCACTTTCTTTTCTTTTTCTTTTTCTTTGAGACAGGATCTTGATCTGTCTCCCAGGCTGAAGTGCAGTG